AAGTTTATGAAATAACTGAGTACCCCCTTAATATTTTCTGTTCAAAACATCCTGAATACACAAAAAATATTAAACATACATGTGCACGTAGGTACACATACATATATATGCACACAATGTATATTTGTATAAATAAATGTGCTTTTATTCACTTTTGTGAAATGTAGCAAATAATTTGAAATTTAATATTAAAATTGTTTATTCATCTTTTGTAGTGATGCGAATAGTTCGGCAATGTGCCAATAAAAGAGACATGGAAAATTTCAATCACAATATTTTTGCTAAAAAATGCCAAAAAGATTGCCTTTACCTTTCATATAAATATATGTATGTATATACATACATGCACATGACTACTGTAAGCCATACCCTGCAGTGAAAAGCCAAACTAGTCAGTAAAAATACCAGTTAGTTAACTAGAATGTGCTAAAGCGACGGCCTACCAGTTCGACAATTTCGAAGAACTTAAGCGTTCAGCGACATCTGCTATTGAATTGGCAAAACCAAACTAAAACGCAATTAATTGCTTTTCTTACAAATGTCGGCTGTGGCGTCGCGTGAAGACTGACGGTTCTGGTGCGCTAAGATCGCAGGTTCGAGTCCGCTTGGATGTGGTTAAGATTTTTAAAGTTAATTCAATGTAAGTCAATATAATTATTTCAATTTAAATATAAATAATAAACTTGAAAATCTAATTTCATTGCGGAAAAACTTGCATTCAATTTAAAAACACAATAAAAACCCTTAATAAAAAAATTATTAAAGAAATTATAACACAATAAAAAAAAATGTCTCCCTGCGCCAGAGATCGAACCGCGGACCTCAGTAATACCGCCGCGCCGCGAGTAAATTGCCATACTTATGCTTTTGGTGGGGGATGAAATGGCAAACGATTTCATCAACTGGTATGATGCTACTGATATTTCAACTAGTAGATGATGATGCATAGCCTGACAATTGACATCTCGTAGGACATCGCCATGTTAAAAATACCAGTCGCTAACATTGAAAAAGTATAGAACGTAACCTAGTTGGGCTGAAAAGCACACCGGCAGTATTCTAGTTCACAACTAGTAGCTTTCCCTGCAGGGATAGTTACTAAAAATTGGTAAAAATTAAATTCTAATATATGTAGATGTATATGCATTTGTGTGCATATAGAAACTTGGGTAGTATACACTTCGTTGGTTTTCAAATGAAAAATGGCTGAACTGAATAGAGATGGAACTTTTTTCTCATTGCTTTACAATCAACAACGTTATGAAGATATTAAGTTGTAGATAAATACGAGTTTATATGTGTATGCAAAATTGCGCAAATACACAAAATACGATCTACATGTACCGATATAGACAACACATTTGTACGGATGTACAAAAGGTAATAGTTACAAATGCACAAGATAGTCATAGCGTTAAAACATTTTCCACTGCGAAATTTGAATTTACAACGTTTGGATACTCAAAATTTTTAAAATACGATTTTAAATCTTCCTAGATTTTTTTAAGAGATGTTTCAAGTGCCCGCAATGTTAGCACTGGGTTTGGGCTGCTGTTTTATGTTTTATTAACCTGAGCAACAGCATGTGTCCTATGTACTGAGAAGAGGCACTTAATTATACCCATCTTTTGTCATTGGTGACTGTTTTAATAAACACACCTATAAGCTAGATTTCTAGCTCGGTAAATTACAACAAATCGCAGCATTTATTAAATTAAACAAAAATTTACCACGAAAAAGGTTTCTTCTACTAAAAGCAAAAGAAGAGTATACAAAATATTATGCAACACAACATTGTTCGAAAACATGCTTTAGTAAATTTGACTGCACCTTTTTTTTTACAAGTGCACCCAACAACACAGTCCAACAAAATTAAACTTTCCTCTGCAACAGAAAAACAATGGTATAATTTTGAAACAGCACAACATACTGGCTATTTTGGCTAAGCCAAGTCATAGTCCAGCATGTCGGAGTTTTGTTTTAGTTGCACTCAATGCTTAAGGATACAAGGATACCCGGATCGCAAGCACAAAATCTCGAAGAGATATCTTTTTTTGACGTCTTCGAAAAAAATATTCCTTATTAAAAATTAGGGGTAGTGTGCTAACAATAAAACTTCCGCAGAGCACTCGAATTTGAAAATTAAATAAATAAATCTGAACCGAGAAATTTTTGAAGGGTTTCCTTTCCTTAATTTCTTGCGTTAATTGAGGGACCACGAAAAGTTTGTTCCTTGAATGCCAGCCTTTAAAAATACATATTAATACGGTTTAGGGCCGTTTTCTCAAGTAACCTGTAACGTAAAAGCTCACTTTAAATTTAAAGGTTGCATTAAAATGTATGATTGTGTCTAACGTAAAGCATTTTATTGTCGGTTTTAAATTGGTTTACAACCAAGAAACATACATACGTCAAAAATCGATAACAGAAATGCTTAACTTTAGACATAGCTTCATTTTCAATCCAGCCTTTAATTATTAAGTGAGCTTTAAAGTTACAGGTTACTTGAGAAAACGGCCCAAAGCCTTATAAAGCAATATTTAAATAGGAAACATTTATTATAATAGTATTTTACGAAATTGACAATTTTATACAAAATAAAAGTAACGGAGGACAGTATGTTTTTTTTTTAAATAACTTTTGCTTTGATTGCTTTTGTTGTAGTTTAGTATGAAAATATAGCATTCCGTTGTCCAAATAGAGAAGAAATCAGTGGAAGCGACCAAATATTTTAATAAATAGCAAACAAAGTTATACTTTGTAAATGCCGACTTTGACACTTTTTATGGACAAAAACTTTTCTAGCTACAGAAAAAATAATGCTCGGAATCTTTTATTATGGAATTTTAAAGGCGTTTTGGAGGTTAGGTTTGTATAGGACGTATGCTTCAAAATGAGTCGCTTAAGTCCATTTATTTTTGGAATTTACATACAACAATATTCCAAACATGTGAACAAATTTCGGAGTCAATTATTCATCGATTTGATTTTTATGACATTTTTAAGAGTTTTTAAGGTTAGGTTTATATGGGAGAAATGATTTAAAATAAATCGATCACGCCAATTTTACGTTTTTTTCTCGACATTTGTCCATAAATGTTGCAAACGGAAAATTGAGGTTCTACGCCGACTCCTGATGGGGCTGTTCCACCGTGTGCAGATATGTACAAAATATATATGTAACTTTTTAAAATAAGTCACTTTTCGTCAAAACCTAAAGCTCTAACTGCTTTAAATTAAGCAAAAAATATTTTTTTTTTCTTGTAAATTTTCATATTAAATTAAAATAAAAAATTCGAAAATATGCCGAAGTTATTCCTTTGCAAAAATGCTGTTTTACAGTGTAATTGACAAGGAGTTGCTAGTACTAAGTAGAATAAAGGCAAATAAATACACACAAGCACACACATACATACATATGAATATTAAGGCATGCAGCGCGCTCGCAAAATAGGGACAACACAATTCTGTATACAAGTAACTATATCAAAGAAAAATGCATAAATTTTGCCGCAAAATGTATGCGAGGCTGTGCAGAGGAATTAGGGCGACAGAGGGGTAGCAGTTCATAGGGTTTTCTAGAAATAACTAAAAAAGATAACCATTTGTTTAGGTTTACTGAGGAAAAAACGTTTGCTCCATTTTATAAATATTCAAAAAATAAATTTCTCATTTTCTGTTTATTTGTTCATATAAATTTACTCATTTCGTGTATTGTATGTATGTATGTATATTAGAGTGCATCACCAAAAAAAAAAGTGGCTTTTTCGCCGGAATTATAAAATTTAATATATTTTAAGACGGCCGCCTAAAATATTTTAGAAAAATGTTAAGATTTACGTGAGCTATAACGATTTGGAATACCTACAAAAATCGCATTATTTTAATTTCGTTGATAGAATTTTTAAAAGTTTTGATGCAAACATTTGAAGCTCAAACTTTTTTGTCATCCGAGGTATTTTTTTTTTGAAAAAAAAAAATTCTAAAAACTAGTTTTATTTACAAAAAAAAAAAACTAGATTTTTGGAGTATTTTCACACAGGTAGAGCTCATGTAAATCTTAATATTTTTGCGAAATATTTTGGCGGCAGCCTTAAAATATAATGGCCCATAGTCATAGTCAGTCGTAATTTAAAACTCATTCTTGTTAAAATAAAGTTTTAAGTTTACATTAGATTTTTAAGACATCTTAGAAACAGCTTTTTGTTAAGATGAGAGAGGACAGAGCTATCCATATGAAGAGAAAAAATTTACTCGGAAATATAAAGAAATATGAGTACTGTAATTAGTTCACCTTGTGTCCGTTGCAAGATTGCGGATTTAGTAAGTCGGGAAGTCGTGGGTTCGGACCCCACTGCCAGGAAACACTTTTTACATGTTTGTTTGTTCTTTTAAATATTATTTAATTTTTTTTATGTAATTATAGTTGTTGTGACCTTTGTAATTAAAAATAAACTCCAAAAAATTTGATTTACTTGAAATTATTATTGAAAAAAAAAAAATTAAATTAAAAAAATATTGTGTGGAATCGCTCGGAGTGTGAACTGAATCTAGGTGCTATTGCGTTTACTACTTCAACAACTCAACAAAACTTAGAACCTTATTTCACGATTTAAAAATCGCGTTCTCCTCATTTTAAAGTTAAAATTCGGTTTTTGCCATAAAATGCACTTCAAGTTGACTATGAAAGAGTTAAAACGGTGATTACTACAATACCAAATACAATTTTAATCGCTAAAACCTTTTTCGAACTTCTCTATGACTACGGGTCAATAGATTTTATATTTCCGATTGGAAAAAACACTATCGATTTTTTTTCTATTTTGTAAGGAGGGCGGTGATGCAACCTAATGTACGTACATAAAAATGTTTTGACTTTTGTGTTTGTTTGGGATTTTGTGTGGGTGTGGACAGTGATGATAGAGACAAAGTTGAGAGTGAGAAAGTAAATATAGACACAAAAAACCATTCAAATTGATAAAAATAATCTAAATTATTACCATATTCTAATCCGTGGTCGTAGTATTGGCCTAATTCGGGGATAGTAGTACAAATACCATAAAAAACAAATGCGGTTGATTGGTTTGGATATTTGTTTCGTTTATTGTTTTATTGTCGGTTGATTTGTTGATTGATTGATTTTTTTTGCGATTCAATTTCATTTTGCATTTGTTTTTGTTTTTTATTTAAATTTATTTATTTATTTTTTTTAATTGGTTTGCGAGTGAGAAAATAAGTAGGAAAAAGAAAGAAAAGAAGAAAGTATAGTAAATAAAATTATGCAAGTTTGTTTTTTACATATTTTGCAGGAAGGGGTTGCGCTTGTTTGGTATTGCATTTTTTGTTAGTAACAATTTTGTTTATAAAAAAATTAACAATTAATTGTTAAAATATTTATAAAATCTGTGACACAAAAGGAGACGAGTCAAGAAAACTAAAAAAAAAATGCTGGATAGACGGGAAATTCTTAGAAAAAGTTTAAGGGAAACGGACATAAACTCTGTAATTCGGGTAAGCTACATTTAAGTAAACTTTTTTCTGTGAATTAAATCTATCAAGAGGAGCAACAAGTTTAAAAGTACTTAAAAATACGGTTTTATGTTTTCACAACTTTGAATTAAAAGTGTAATATGAAGTAATAATAACTGTGCTTAAATACAATACTTTAGAAAAAGAGATTAGGAAAGAATTTAGACGGCGTGTAGAGTGATACAGTGGGCGTATTTCTGCATAAAATTAATAAGAAAATTGCACTGCCAAACTAAAAAAATTGTATTAGTCAGAAAAATCGCCATAGTCCCCTAACAATGAAACGGTTCTGTTTGGTGGAAGTCTTCAAAGAATTAAGGATAACCAACAGCCGTAAGAATAACAAACTCCCACACGACAATGCGAACTCCTGCACATCAGCTTAAACAAAAGGATTTTTGAAAACTTTGATGGGGGCAATCCCGATTTACAACTCCAATTTGCCACCTAATGATTTTTCCTTATTTCCACACAAATGTGAGTAAGAAACTCTAATGCATGGAAAAAGATATTTATATTCAATGATTTCCAGGACTCTGAATCAACTCAATATTCGTAGTTGGGGTATTCTTGATAAGCTTCTGTGTGCAGCAACTAACTTCTTCGTTGGTATTCAGGAAAAAATCTGAAATGAATGTGATTTCTTACTTTAGGGTACAATGCTTTAAGTGCCCACTGAAGTCTGCTCACTAAGAGGTGGGGCTGTGACCCGAGCAACATAAAAACAAACATGCAATGAAAGTGACTAAAAAGCACGGAAGCAGAGAAGAGAACCCCGTTTTCGTTAATGAAGGCCACGGCAAACGTCTAAAGAAGTATGCTTTGAGGTATACACCCGAAAAGTCCAGTCCATACCCTTAATTGGGTAGGTGCCTATGTTTGACTAAGGCTGAAATCAGCGCCATCCAAAGAATGCTTAAGAAGATCAATCAAACCACATGGCTGTTTTCAGACCGAAGGAAAATCGAGTATGCTGTGATCGATGCGTCACGATTTCAGTCTATTCTACCATGTACGATCCTAGGACAAACATCGATTCGGAGCAGTATCTTGTTGCAGTCAAGATGTCCTCGGAAGCACAAAGAAAACTTAACGTCGAAAAGCTAGTGTAACCAAGACTGCCAGCAATTTCGCTACTATACTCTGAAGAGGGAAGCGTGACTTAAATAATTTCCTAACTAAAAGAAAAAGACAAAATACCATTATAACTACTGTACCTATTGAAGGCAATAGCCACTTTAGTTCATAATTGTGAAAACATTACCTATATTTTGTGAAAGTGATTGCAAAGCAGAACAAAACCTGAATTTTTTTTTTCTTTAATCGAGTTTTAATAAAAAAAAGAATGCAGATTTTACCACTTTTCAATTTATTATGCCTTGCTTTCACTTTTTTTTTGAAATAATTTTAAATTTAATAATCCCTTACCCTCCTTACCAACTAACCCCGTATATATACTCACTTCAACGAATAACTGTTGGTTGCATCCTGTCGCACTACCAGCGGTCGCTGACTAGCCGATGTGGCTGCACCGCCACCACCACCACCACCACCACCACTACCACCGCTACTGCCACCAACACCTCCACCACCACCACCACCACCTTGCTGCACATTGCCATTGGCATTGCTGTGATCCTGTGTGGGTGTGGCCGGCGATGACGTGGACGTTTGGCCGGGCTTCTTCTTCAGTGCCGACTTGAGAGGAACTGCATTTGGTTTTGGCTCTTTGGCTGGAATTTCCTCAATGCGCTGCGTATCGACATGATTGGGATGTAATGATTGTTGTTGCTGTCGCAACTGGAACATATACTCCTCATCGGAGTCTAGTTGATCATCGTCAGGTTCATGATCTGAACGAGAAAAGGATTTAATTTTAACAAAATAAAAAAAA